TTAAGGGCATTGGCCCATATCTTACAATATAAATAAATTACCCTATGTGTATGCAAAACACACAAGGGATCTTTTCTCCCAATCTTCTCTATTTCTCATAGAGGATATGAGAATGTATTTTTCATAAATGAGAATAATAAATCAGTCTTATTTCCAACTAGAATGTAATTTGTGCGATTGATATCAATAAATAAGTCATTATTTTTCAAATCAGTTTTATGTCGTGTTCTTGATTACTCATTCCTATGATATTTGGGAGAAGATCCATGAATATTTTAGTCTTCAAACTAACTCTCCTGCTAGAAAGCTTCGAGCTTTCTATGAGAGCTGTCAAACTTGATTCCAAATCCATGGAAGACTACTTACTGAAATTCAAGAATTATGTGGATGAGCTTGTGGCAGTTGGAGTTCTTGTCCAACATGAAGAACATGTACATGCTATTATGGTAGGATTGCCATCAGATTATGCTCATGTTGTGTCTGTAACTGAAAGTAAGAGAAACACACACCTTCTATTGATGAGATTGAAGCTTTATTGTATGGTCATGAAACATTACTTGTTATGTGCAAGAGTCTCAAACCATGGTTCAACCTTCATTGAATTATACTCAAGGCTCTTCCTCTAGAGGTGTTACTCCAAGCGGAGGTTTCAAGGATCCCCTAGTGGTGGCGGTGGTTCTTTTAGAGGACGTGGTGGCAAGTTCACTAATTTTCAGTGCCCAATTTGCCAGGAAAATTTGGTCATACAGCTAATTTTGTCACTTCCGGTATGATGTCTCATTTCAGCCACATAATCTGTGTTTCACTGATCCAGCCACACAACAATTAATTCCTTACTCAGCTGGCTCTTGTAAGACTTCAAATACTAGGCTGAATCCAAACAACAAATCTAATACCACTGGTCAACCTAGTGCAATGATCATGAAGTCTGAAACACCAAGTAATGCCAATACTTCTTGGATACTAAAATTTTGGTGGCAGTTTTCATGTCACAAGTGAACCTCTAAACATTAAACAACTCCAACAGTTTGAAAGACCAAATCATGTTTTCATTGGAAATGGTGCAAGTTTGAGTATCTCTTGGGTTGGTTCATCTTCTTTTCTATCACCTTATGATTCCAGAGTCTTGTTTCAATTATAGCATTTGCTGCATGTTCCTTCTATTACTAAAAACTTGTTAAGTGTCAGTCAGTTTGCAATGGAGTTGTTGGAGCTAATGGATTGTATTCTTTCACCAATGTTCATCTTTTCAATCAACCATCTCAGCTGCAGTCCACTTTTGTGTCCACTCCTCATTCGGCTCCAGTTTCCTTTGTAATAAACACTGTTAATAAGTCTATTTCTGACACTAATGCGTTTGATTGGTGGAAAAAAGATTAGGTCATCCCAGTAATCATATTGTGAATATTGTCTTCAAACATTGTAATATTCCAGCGTACAACACAATTGACTCTGGTTTATGTAAATCCTGTTGTGCTGGAAAATCTCATAGACTGCCCTTTCATGAATCTAATTCTGAGTATTCTCCACTAGAACTCAATTTTACTGATATGTGGGGCCCTGCACACATTACTTCTCATGCAGGATACAAGTATTACGTTTCTTTTGTTGATGCCTTTTCTAGATATACTTGGATTTTGCCAACAAAAACTAAAGTCGAAACCTTAACTGTTTTTCAAAATTTTAAGAACATGGTTGAGATGCAATTGAATTCGAAAATTAAAAATGTTCAGTCTGATTGGGGTGGTGAATAATGTCCTTTTACAAACTTTTTAGGTCATCATGGCATTGTTCATAGACTAATTTGTCTTCATACTCATCATCAAAATGGAGTTATTGAATGTAAACATTGACACATAAAAGTTATAAATGCTTATCTTCTAGTGGTCAAATATTTATTTCAAAGGATGTTTCATTTGATGAGCATCGGTTTCCTTATTCTGATTTATTTCCTAAATCACCAAATTCTATTAAAGATCTTAGTCAGTACTTCACATTAAGTTCAAAGTTTTCACCACCTCAACAGCCTGAAAATTCAGTACCTAGCACTTCCATGTCATGTGACAGTGATTCAACACCAAATGTTTCCCCTTCTGGTTTTAGTCCAGGTGTTCCATCATCTTCTGTGTCAGATTCTCCTTCTACACCTGTTCTGAACTATCATCCAATGCAAAATCGGTCCAATTCTGGCATCCTTCAACACAATTCATCCATCTCTATCGTTATCTCATTCTGAACATACTAGTGTTAAACAAGTTCTTGAGATAAAAACAGGCAGGCTACAATGCAGCAAGAGTATGAGGCCTTAATCAATCAAAAGACTTGGGATCTGGTTTCTTTACCTTCTAACAAAAAAGCTATTGGTAGTAAAGAGGTGTTTAGAATCAAGGAAAATGTTGATGGCTCAATCAATAAATGTAAAGCTTGTCTTGTTGCTAAAAGCTTTCCTCAAATTCAAGGTTTTGACTTTCATAAAACCTTTTCTCCAGTGGTGAAACCAGTTACAATTAGAGTTGTTCTTACTGTTGTTATTTCTCATGGGTGGAAAGTGTTTTAACTTGATGTTAATAATGCTTTTTTAAATGGTTTTCTGGATTAGACTGTATATATGCAGCAACCTCTTGGATTTGAGGTATCTGATAAGTCACTTGTTTTTTGGAAGTTGAACAAGACACTTCATGGGCTGAAGGAAGCCCCAAGACAGTGGTTTACTCGTCTGCAGACTACTCTTCACGAGCTTGGGTTTCTTACTAGTACTTTTGATACTTCTTTGTTCATATATAAAAAGGAAACTGAGGTTATTTTTTTTCTAGTTTATGTTGATGATATTATCATAACTAGCAGTTCTCCTAGTCTAATTCAGAGTGTTACTGAAAAGCTTCATTCTACTTTCTCTCTGAAGCAGCTTGGTCAATTAGACTATTTTCTTGATCTTGAGACAAATATTTACATGACAATTCTGTTCCCATGACTCAAACCAAGTACATACGTGATTTACTTCACAAAACTCACATGGTTGAAGCTCGTGCTATATCTTCTCCAATTGTTTCCAATGATAAACAATCCAAACATGGTGCTGATGTTTTCTCAGATCCTACTCTGTACATGTCGATAGTTTTCTCAGATCTATCTATGTGTGTTTGTGTGGAAATAGATATATATTTACATAAATATGTATATATAAGGATCAGTGGCTTACGGAAAAAGAGAACTTAAGATAGAAACTGTAAAATAATTCTAGAGGGCTTAATTGATCCCTCTCACAATCTTCTATTTATAAGAATAAATTGATACACAAGTACATGATAAATAGGGTAACCCTAGACACAACATAATCATGATAAATAGAGTAATCCTAGACACAATATAATCATGATAAATAGGGTAACCCTTGACACACTATAATGACGATAAAATAGGATAAATATCGTAACAAGAGAAAAACATAATAGAGTTTATCATAGGATTTGGAGGGTAACAGTTTACCCCTAGAATTCTAGGTTACAGATAGATACAACACAAAACAGCTTTTGCTCAGAAGATAATATAAACTAGTCTAACACAAAATGAATTTTAACAGTTTGACCCTGGCTACAAAAAAATGCCAGCTATCAGGTGCTTAACACAAACATGACAACATTAAAAGATGTCATACGATAATAGTATAGTGGAAATTAGGAAAAGGATTTCATGAAATAAACAAATAAACCTGTTCAGGAGGTCAATTATGTAAATAAGTGATTGTTCAAAATCAATTCTTTGAAAACAACTACCAATTGAGTGATTAATTATCATTGAACAAGAAATATTTTACTAAGAATTCTTTTTTTGTGATTTTCAAACATTAAATTCAAACATCTTCACTAGAAACCATGTCCATGAACAATGATAAAAATGTGATCCAATATGGCTGAGCAGTGAGAATAAACTTCAATAAATCCACAATAGCTCACAATTAAAACCATTTTTGTAAGAGAGAATTTTATGCATCACCTTAATACACTTGGGAGAAACTCTCAACAACCCAGACAACTGAGGGGCAAGCATAAGTTGATTCAGTTTGAGACCAGAGATTGAAACCTCGCCAACAAGACTATCTACAATTCCTTTATCTAACATTTGTACATTCTGCCTTGTCATCTCAAGATTTTGTTCTGTAATATTGCCAATTGGTTTTAAAACCTTTCCCTGAAACTTTATTCTTCCAGCCACTTTCAAATGCAAAGGCCTTGGGGAATCCATAGTGTATGCAGAAACCAAGCTGAAGAATTCAAACCCACGCATACGTAAATCCAACTCAACTCCATCAATTGTAAATGGGATGGCTCTTGGAATATTGAACTCTTTTTTATGATGAAAATCATCAGGATAAGATGTTTGAACTCGAGTATACAGATCAAATGCAGCTGAAGCAGAATTCACAGTAATAAAATCATGTGAGATTATGATGTCTCCTCGAGCATCACTGAAAGACCCTTCAGCTGTAGGTGCAGTCCACTTTATATCAAACCTTCTGCATTATTATTTTTTTAAAATTTAAGAGAAATTGTGTAAGAATAACAGAATTGGCACCAAGTGTTATTAATGGTGAATGCTAGCCCATTGAGGAAAGCAGAAAATCTGTGATAGAATTTGGTGAGAATAGCAAAACTAAATAACAAGCATAATTGAAACATTATGTAGCATATAAAAATTATCAAGTATAACAAACTCGTGCAACTGCATCAGAGAGAAAACAATGCATACAGACAAAATAAAATAATTAATGATACGATCACAAATCACCAGATAGGAATATACTATGATGTAAAATTTCCTACAAATCAAGACTATGACAATCTATTTGACTATGCCTCCTAGTTCGTATAGGGTCATTTCTGGTTGTCCTCCGTAGTTACCATTATCAATAATAATGTGTGGTGAGAGAGAAAAAAACCAACAAATGCAGAAACCATGCCTCAATACCCTCGGGAAACTACATAGGTTCTATATCATCAGAAATGCCACCTTCTTTGAAGACAATCCACGCTATACCATCAAAAATACTATAGATGCTCCCCAAACAGACAAAAATCACTTCCCTCAGGTATTGCATACATTTTGGTTCTATCATTACTATACCTAAGGCTTTAGAGGTTTGTTTTAAAGGCTAAGATTTCCCAATGTGCAACGTGCAACCTCCCAAGAAGATGATATCAGTTATCATCACAAGCAACAATAATGCCAAATTTTAGCTGATGAACCGAATTACTAAAAAACTGGAATGGTTCATCTTACGGTCGTAAAAGGGATCCTGAAAGTTTTGTTTCACCATTTAACACTCCTAATTTAAGTGGCATCTGATGATAATAACTTGGTATATAACGGAGCACGATGTTATCAAAGGCCAAACTTCCAGAAAAATTGACGTCTATCGCTGTCTCATCCTCCTCACCCTGAGAACAAAAGATTACATATTAGTAGAAGTAGGTTATAGAAATTCTAGAGACCAGATATCTACACACTAGCTTTTAACCAAATAAAAAAAACCTAATTTCCATATTAGTATAATGAAATAACAATACTTTCATTTGCCTCACTTATCCGATATTTGATACTTTTGAATATTTCATCAATATGTATATATGGTGTATTTTAAATAAATTACGAAAATCTAACATTGTAACAGTTGAAATAAAAGAGAAAACAACACAGGCTGAATGTGTATAGAGCACATAGGGTTATCCATTTATAAATAGAAAAATACAAAGAGATGGGCCTAAGCCTATTACATCTAACACTCCCTCTCAAGTTGTTGCATATAAATTGTTAGAATCTGTTTTATTAGCTGAATTATTTCTGTCAGAATCTGTGTTTTATCAGTTGTGTTGTTTCCTTATTTAGGAGATTACAATTATAGGGTATGATGGGAATATCCCTGAATCATAGAGATCTGGTTGTCTAGGTGCTATTATTATACTTCCTAAAATTGTTTTCTAGCCTTGTATATATGAATTGTATTCTCAGCATAATTTAATATATCAATTATTCTACCCTAAATTGTGAGCTGGCTCTGACTATGCAAACCAAAACCCTAGCTAGCAGCCTTCATTGTTGTCAATAGTTTTTTTTTAAGATAGCCAACCTTCATTGCTACTATGATTTGCAGTGTTGTTTCTTAGTTGTTGTTGCAAAAATCAAATACATACTCATTACGTTATGGTCGTTGTACTGCAATGGACATGGTAGACCCAATTGCTGAAGTGGTGAATACTGAGTCACATAACACTCAGGAATAACAGTAGAACCTTAATACTGCCTACCGATTGAATGGGAATAATTACTTGACATGGGCCCAACTTGTTTGCAGAACTTTTAAAGGTAAAGGGAAAGCTAACCACTTGACTGAAGATACACCCAAAGAAGAAGATCCCAAATTTACAAAATGGTATGAAGAGGACTCTATGATCATGGAATGGCTACGGAACTCAATGATCCCAGAAATCATTGATCCTTGCATGTTTCTTAATTCTGCAAAGGAGATTGGAATGCCATGGAGCAGACAGACTCCAAAGCTAAAGATGTTGCTCAAATATATGATGTCAAGGTGAAGATTGTGACTGCAAAACAGGGAAACAAGACTGTTACAGAGTACGCCAATCAACTCAAATCACTATGGATGGAGTTAGACCATTACAGGGTCATAAAAGCCAAGTGCTCAGATGATTCAAAAATGCTCAAAGAGTATATTGAGCAAGATAGAGTCTATGATTTCTTGGTGGGGCTTAACTCTGATTTTGATCAAGTAAGAGTCCATATCCTTGGAAAAGAAAAAATGTCAGGAATTAATGAAGTAGTAGCTATGGTCAGAAGTGAAGAAAGCAGAAGGGGAATAATACTAGAAACCCCAACCATGGAAAATTCAGCCATGGTAGCTTTCGAATCGGCCATGATGGTAGACCAGAAAAAGGAGGGAATAGCCAATATGGAGAAGAAAGGTGATGGAATGTGGCGTACCTTGTGTAACAAGCCTTGCCATACTCGTGATAAATATTGGAAGCTGCATGGAAAGCCACCTTGTAGAGATTGGGGTCCCAAAACCGAGACAAGGAGTGGGGAAAAACAAGGAGACAACACCAGAAAGGGAGGACAAGCACACATAGCAGTTGTAACCAGTGAAGAAAACAAAGGAGGAGTGATTCAACTTAACCAGGATGAAGTAGAGAAGATGAGATCATTCCTCAATAAGTTGAAAGTTGGATAAGTCAACAGGTAGTTGTTCTCTAGTGCATTCAGGTACTTTTGGTGGGTTTCTTTTTTCTTTCGAACTTACTACCTCAGAAAAAAACTATAACCCATATCGGATTCTAGGGCTACCGACCACATGACACCCCTACCTAAACATTTCTCTTCTTACACCCTTTGCCCTAGCAACAAGAAAATATCCATTGCAGATGACTCTCTGATGACTGTAACAGGTCAAGTAGAAGTACAAATAAGCCCATCCATAACCCTTAAAATTGTCCTTCATATTCCTAAATTGTCAGCTTGATTTCCATAAAAAAACTCATAAAAGACCTATCATGTAATGCTATTTTTTATGACAATGTTTGTATACTACAGAACAAGTACTTCGGGAGGATGCTAGGACATGCTAGAGAATGGAATGTCTTATATTACTTGGACAATCCGAATCAGCCACCACACCTAGAAAATAGCAACTCTTTTTTCTCTAATTCAATAAAGACTAACAGGGAGAATCTCTTCCTACATCACTGTCGCCATGGACATCCTTCTTTTAGAGTCATAAAATCGTTATTCCCTTCCCTTTTTAGCAAATTGGACGTGGAAAGTCTTCATTGTGAAGTGTGTTAGCATTCTAAGCACAAGCATGTACCTTTTCCAGTTAGTAATAATATGAGCACTTGTCCCTGCTATTTAATTCATACTGATGTATGGCGTACCTCAATTGTCCCAAATGTTTCTAGTGCCCATTGGTTCCTTACCTTTATAGATGATTGTACTCAAGTCACATGGGTTTTCATACTAAAACAAAAATCCAAAGTCAGCTATGTGGTTCAACGTTTTTTCTCAATGTTTAAAAAAACAGTTTGGTGTTAGCATTAAGACTATTAGATCCGATAATGCCAAAGATTACTTTAATCATGGGCTTATTTCCTTTTGTCAAAAGGAAGGTATTATTCATGAGTCATCATGTGTCAAAACACCTCAGCAAAATGCGATTGTTGAGAGGAAAAATGGACACCTTCTAGACCAAACTCAAGCTCTTATTTTTCAACACAAGGTTCCTAAAAGGTTTTAGGGAGCGCTTGTTCTCACTGCCTGTTATCTAATTAATAGACTACCTTCTAGTATTCTAGCCTCAAAAAGCCCTACGGAGGTTCAGTCCTCCTTTTATCCTAATGTGTCCACATCCAACCAACTTGTTCTAAGAATATTTGGGTGTGTATCTTTTGTCCATGTTCACAGTGGTAATAGAGTAAACTTGATCCTAGACCCTTAAAATGTGTTTTCATAGGATACTCATCAACACAAAAGGGATATAAATGCTATCACCCACAATTCCAAAAATTGTGTGTCCAGAGATGTCACTTTTTTTTAGCACAAATGTTACTTCCACTATCTTCAGGGGGTACTGCAAGAAAGGAAGATGATTCCTTATGCTCCCTGACTTAAGTTTAGGACCAAAATAAGGGACTAAAAGTGTAACAACTGAGAAGGAACCCATTAAATCCACTCAAGATGGAGTTGGTGTAAGATTTGGGAGAAAACGGGTTTATACAAGGAAGACAAAGGCCGTTATGGAATTTGTCCATGTCCAAAAATCCAACCCAACATTACATGAGGTAACTACTCCTGATCCTTTAATCTCCCTACCGACTAATTATGGTTAGAACTTGCAACAATTTGATGTTAAAAATGCCTTCCTCCATGGAGAAATTGAAGAGGAGATTTAAATGGAATTGCCCCTTAGATATGGAGAAAGAAAAGCTGCCAACACTGTTTGCAAGCTAAAAAAGGTATTTTATGGGCTGAAAGATTCACCATAAGCGTGGTTTGGAAGGTTTAATAAAGTTATGATAGGTCTGGCTTTAAACAAAGTCAAGGAGACCACACTCTGATCATTAAACACTCTAAATCAAGGGGAGTAACAATGTTATTGGTTTATGCGGATAATATTATAGTGACAGGTGATGATGAGGAGGAGCAACAACTGTTAGGCCAACATCTAGCTAAAGAAGTTGAAATTAAGACCCTGGGAAAATTGGAGTATTTTTTGGGAATTCAAGTGGCCCATTCTAAAAAGGGAATATTCATATATCAACAGGAATACATCACTGATTTGTTGAAAGAGACTAGTAAGACAATATGCAAGCTTGCACGTACACCAATTGATTCAAACCTGTAACTGGGAAACGCAGAAGAAGATACTGCAGTTAACAAGGAAATGTATCAAAGGCTAGTTGGTTGACTGATATATTTATCTCACTAGACCTGATGTTGCATTCGCTGTGAATCTAGTTAGCCAATTCATGCACCAAACAAAAAAGATTCGCTTACAAGCTACACTAAGAATTGTGCAATATTTGAAAGGGATCCCAAGCAGGGAATTTTGTTCAAACGAAATGAGAATGTAAGTCTAGAAGCATATACGGATGCAGACTCTGCAGGATCAATTGTGGATAGCAGGTTAACTACAGGATATTACACTTTCCTTGGAGGAAATCTTGTGACTTGGAAGAGTAAAAAACAAAGTGTGGTAGCAAAATCCAGTGCTGAAGTAGAGTTCAAAGTAATGGCACAAGGGATATGTGAACTACTCTGGCTGAAGATCATCTTGGAAGACTTCAGAAAAAATCGGATGAACCAATAAGATTTTATTGTGATAACAAATCGTCTATTAGCATAGCTCATAATGCAGCATGATAGAACCAAACATATTGAGGTTGACAAACATTTTATCAAAGAAAAATTAGACCGTGGTTTGATCTGCACTCCATATATCTCCTCACAAGACAACCTTGCATATATTCTAACAAAAGGGTTGAACAACAACAACTTCGAGAGGATTGTTTCCAAGCTGGGAATGGAAAATACTTATTCACCAGCTTAAGGAGGAGTGTTAGAATCTGTTTTGTTAGCAGTATTATTTCTATTAGAATTTGTGTTTTAATAGTTGTATTGTTTCCTTGTTTAGCATATTACAATTATAGTGTATGATGGAAATATCCCTAAATCATAGGGATCTGGTTGTTTAGGAGCTATTATTATACTTCCTAAAATAACTTTCTAGCCTTGTATATATGAATTGTATTCTCAACACAATTTAATATATCGATTATTCTACCCTAAATTGTGAGATATATTGTATGTACTAAGCTTGTTACAAATATATTCAATTCTATGTCCTCGTAATGGGTAGAATAATATACTCGACAAACAACAAATCTCACTAAGATAGACTTTAACAAGTAATGGGTAGAATAATATACTCAACAAACAACAAATCTCACTAAGATAGACTTTAACAATGACTCTGATATCATGTTAAGAAGTGGACTTTAAGTCAAACTCAACTCTACAAAATCGGCTTCTAAGGTGAGGTTTTCACTCACTTATATATTTTAGATTGGTCTCATCTCTAGTTGATGTGGGACTTCCAACACACTTCACTAAGCTCTTAGCTAATTTTGATATTCATCATAGACTTATTTTTCCCAATACACATCATCAAAATGGAGTGGTTGAAAGGAACACGGACACATTGTTGATTTGGGTCTCACTATATTGCATAAAGCTTCTCTTCCTTTAAAATTTTGGGATTATGCCTTTCCTACAGCAGTTTACTTATTAAAAGGCTTCCAACTGCCTCTCTGAATTTTCCTATTCCATATTGCGTTCTCTTCAATAAAGATCCAGATGTCTCATTTCTTAAAGTATTTGGGTGTACCTGTTTTCCTCTTTTAAAACCTTATCACTATCACAAACTTGTTTTTCATTCTGAGGAATGCATATTTCTAGGTTATTCTAAAATCCATAAAGGCTATAAGTGCTTGTCTTCTTGTGGTAAAGTTTATATTTCCAAGGATGATCGGTTCAATGAAGATGAATTTCCTTACACTTGTATTTTTGCCAATACTCCCAATATTGTTACAAATTTGGATCAATATTTTAATTTACATCTCAATCTTACACCCACTCCTTCATCTCCTACTATGCCACCTCCTCCGGTGGCTGTTAACTCATCACAGATTTCAACATCTTCAGAATCTGTTTCTTGTACTGCACCTCATACAGCTACTATGAAGGTTTTACCTATCACAGATTCCATCTTCAGCATTTTTTTTTGTACTGCGCCTCATACAGCTAATACTGAAGCTGTTAGGATGTTGTTCTGCTCAACATTCATCCCATGCAGACTTTATCTAAGTCTAGTATTGTTTCATGCAGAATTTGTCCTTCCATGTTACTTTTTCATTCTGAACCCAAAACTGTAAAACAAGTTCTTAAAGATGCTGACTTGTCTGCTGCAATGCAACAAGAATATGATGCTCTTATCAAGCAACATACTCCGGATTTAGTTCCTTTACTGTTTAACAGACAACCTATTGAGTGTAAGTGGGTATTTCAAGTTAAGGAATGGCTCTATTAATAAATACAAAGCTAGACTCGTGGCCAAGGGTTTTCATCAAATACATGGTTTTGACTTTCAAGAGACATTCTCACCCGTAGTAAAACCAGTCACCATCAAAATTGTTATTACTCTTGAGTCACCTATGGCTGGAATTTATTTCAGTTGGATGTTAATATTGCCTTCTTAAATGGTTTTCTTGAAGAGATTGTTTATATGGCTCTATTAATAAATACAAAGCTAGACTCGTGGCCAAGGGTTTTCATCAAATACATGGTTTTGACTTTCAAGAGACATTCTCACCCGTAGTAAAACCAGTCACCATCAAAATTGTTATTACTCTTGTGTCACCTATGGCTGGAATTTATTTCAGTTGGATGTTAATATTGCCTTCTTAAATGGTTTTCTTGAAGAGATTGTTTATATGGCTCTATTAATAAATACAAAGCTAGACTCGTGGCCAAGGGTTTTCATCAAATACATGGTTTTGACTTTCAAGAGACATTCTCACCCGTAGTAAAACCAGTCACCATCAAAATTGTTATTACTCTTGGGTCACCTATGGCTGGAATTTATTTCAGTTGGATGTTAATATTGCCTTCTTAAATGGTTTTCTTGAAGAGATTGTTTATATGGTTCAGCCACCTGGTTTTGAAGTGGAGGATAAATCACTGGTTTGTAAATTAAATAAAGCTCTATATGGTCTTAAGCAGGCCCCTCATCAGTAGTTTGATAAATTACAACACACGCTCCATCAGCTTGGGTTTGTTAGCAATACCTGTGACTCTTCTTTATTCTTTATATAATCATCAGTGATACATTTGCGGCTCTTATTCAGTCTATAACAACAAAATTTCTTGCTGCATTTTCCTTAAAAGAAAGGAGACAGCTGGATTATTTTCTGGGTCTTGAAGTCAAATATATGTTTGATTCATCTCTTATCATGACTCAAACCAAATAAATTATAGAGATTTGCTAATCAAAACAAATATGATTGAGGCACATCCTATTTCTTCACCAATGGTTAGCAATTGCAAGGTTTATAAACATGGCGTTGATTTGTTTTCTGATCCAACATTATATGGGTCAGTTGTGAGTGCTCTCCATATGTCAACCATAACTCGTCCTGAAATTAGCTTTTCTGTGAACAAGGTCTGCCAATTCATGGCCTCCCCTCTTGAATCTCACTGGACTATTGTGAAGCGCATTTTGTGGTATCTTACGGGTACCATCTTTCATGGCCTTCATTTTCAAGTTGCTTCTCCTCACTATTCCTTTTTTCTAAAAGCCTATTGTGATGTTGATTGGGCTTCTGATGTTGATGATAGAAGATCTACATATAGGGCAGCCATTTTCCTCGGTCCAAATCTCATCTCTTGGTGGTCTAGAAAGAAACAAGTTGTTGCATGCTCGAGTCCGGAGGCTGACTACAAAAGTTTGGCTTAAACTTCTGCTGAGTTATCCTGGATTTCTGCACTTCTCCCATATTTGCATGTCAAGTTTTCCACTCCTGTTCTATTGTGTGATAATCAAAGTGCAGTCTCCATTGCATATGGAGATTGATGTATTTTGTTAGAGACAAAGTCCTGGCCAAGTACCTGCATATTTGTCGTATTCCTGCCCTTGATCAGTGGGTAAATGTTTTGACCAAACCCCTTTCCTCCACTCGGTTTACTTTACTTCATGTCAAACTCAATGTGAAGAATTTCTTGTTTGATAAATCTCCACCTTGAGTTTGAGGGGGGCTGTTAGTGTACATTTAATAGTTGTTGTTTACATCTAATAGTTAGGGGTTAACTATGCTATAATCAATGGTCAACTATAGTCAATAGTTGACCATATTGTACCATTGTACTCTGCATCTTGTAGTATAAAATATACATGTAAAGAGTTCGATTCAATAAAATCAGTTTAGTTAAACATGTCTCTTCTTTCTCTTTCTCTTGATCTAACAAACCCCCACCACCCTAGGAGAAAAAACAAAAATGGTCAAAAAGTGAGTGTATATAACCTAAATGACGATGCTATGCTTCCTAGTTGTTTAAAGTACGGCATATTTAAAAAAAAGTATGACTAAAAAAAATACAAAAAGAAAAAGGCTCTCTAACTGACCTCTGGGCAAATCCATGCATTCCCAGCCCCTCGAATTTCACCACCATCTACAAGGCATGCCCTAATTCCATATAAATCAGCAACCTACAATATGCAGAGTAAGTGCTACCACAGTATAGCAAACTCTAATAATAAAGCACTAATCTAAAGATACCCATGCTAAATTATTATCCTTGACAACTTACACAGTTATCGGTGTTGAAAGTGAAATTAGCAGATACATATGAAAATGGTACACGATCAAATGCTGCCAGCGCTCCAGCTTCCTTACTTGTAGCAAGTGCTTCAGATGCTACAGATGCAGTAGTATCAGTTTGTAAATAAGAGAACGTCCTTGAAACCATTCCAGTGCCAACAAATACAGGTGTATCCAGTGGGCCTTGACAGTTAAATAGAGCAGTTACAGATCCTGCCAGCTGCAATTCAAAAATTAAAGACTGAGATAAGAGAAGAAGAAAAAAGTTAAAATTGATCTTGGGGTTTTCTGTGATGACATACAAATATGCAATAGTAATAATATAAGGGATATTCAAATGTGCAAAAGTTAAGTGTGCATAAAATTGGTTCTTCATATTTATAATTAAAAATTGCAAGAACATGCACATAATAACATATCTCTAATTGATATAACTTTTAAGATTAAATCACTACCCTTGAGGTTGCAATTAAGTGAACCCCCCCCCCCCCCCCCCCCCCCCTAGCCTAGGGTTACCATGATTGAACATAAAATTAACATCATGCTCTTTGAGAAACTAGGGTTACCATGATTGAACAAAAAGTTAACATCATGCTCTTTGAGAAACTAAACATGTTAGAAAACAAAAACACTAAGGAGCTAAACACAACATCTCAGGACTTTCACAAAATGTGTTACACTCCCCCAATTTACTAGTAACACTGCTTTGGTAGCACACACCAATCATTATTTTGTTTGTCTTTCTCAATCTCCTTCCCTGAGTCCCTAGACCATTGTCTTTGGTACAATTGATCATGTATCTAGTAATCATTATTTTTTCTCTTCCCTTACTAGGAGTGACAATTTGCCTTCCAGATCTATACTATGAGGTAGTGAATGTTGGGTTTTAAAGGAATAAGAAAAAAAGAAGCAAGAATATAAGTCTCAATGTTAAGATGGATGTGTGGACACACAATAAGGAAGAAGATCCATAACAAGCAATAGCTCCTCTATGGATAATACTATGAACATATGAAAGCATACCACTGACAAGTAAAGTAGATAACATTTAGATTGAGCCCAATAACATTGGTGAATCATGTAGCCAACCTCACCTAGTAGGGTGTGTGCTAGGAATCTAGAATTGAAAAGAGAAAGAAGAGTAATATTCTTTATTGTATAAACTGAAAAGAACACAAAATAGGAGAGCACTCTCCTCCAAGGGTTTCCCCTTCACAAAGAGCTAAAGCTCAATCTACAAAATTATCCCAAAGTCCCCTCCATACCAGGACCCCCCAACTATATAAAGGAAACTTCACTCACCCTAACAACCTAACTCACAACTACTTCTTAATATTTTTTCTCCTATCATACACGTTATATCCTATCACTACACACCGTTAGAACAACCTTGTCCTCAAGGTTGGAAGAGTGAAGCTCGATCTCATGGGAGTGTGATATTGTCTTATTATCAGAAGGAAACCCACTGCTACTGCCTGCAATTTTAGACCTAGAGGCTTGGGTGGTGGTCGATATGACAGTGGTTTTTGTATACCAAATTCTAAACCAGTAATTTGGAATCCCAAAATTCCAATGTCATTGATGTTCCCATCATTATCACATCTAAGTTCAACCATGAATTCTTATTCCGATTACGTAAATCTGATTTTGGGAAAATTTGTTGCTTGGCTGCATCTCCACCTTCAACTCTCTTTATTGTTGCATCCCCTTCCTCTTCCCTCATACTATATTTTTCTATTACAAATCTCCCTTATGTTTTGGTTTTTTCTTCCGAACAGAGGGTGTGATTCTTCATTGTTGGCTTTTCTCCCACAATTAGAGCACTTTGCAAATCTGTAATCAAGTCCTTTAGATCCTGTTGTGGGAACCGGTTGTGAATGTTAGATTGCAGCCCTACAAAGAATAATCCCTGCAATTGATCTTCTGGTGTTTTATTTGCTTGTGACACCAATATCTTGAATTCTTGGATGAATTTTTTCCCACTCCCAGTCCATGTTATTGCTGCCAAACTCTCAAGTAAAACTCTCTGTGCATTTCCCCCAACTGTTGGCGTCAAGAAATCAAACCCACCTCCTCACGAATGCCAATATCTTTATGGATATAAAGAATATCCACAACCCATAAACCATCATGTTGCGTATTATTACTAGGCAGCACATCAATAGCATAACAAAATTCACCCCTATTGTTGTTTCCCACTTTAAATCCTTGAATGTAATCTTCCACCCTTTCTTGTTGTTTAATTGTTGCCCATTTTCCAACAATGGCACTTTGTTTTCTACCCCCACACTTTTCGAAAAAAATGGTGTTGCATTCTCTTTCCCTACAGCTCTTACAGAGGGCTTTAGAAAGATCTTCCCAAGAAACGTTCTTGAATTTTTGTTGCCAGATCTTGAACCCTTGGACTGCATTTTCTTCCATGTTATTGATTGTTGGGTGTACCTTTGTTGATCCTTTGATGTTCTTATATTCAAAAACATTTGTTGCCCTTGTTGTTTGACCTTGGGTGCCATTCCCTTCAAATGTGGACAACTCCACTCCTTTAACCCACGGGAAAAGTGGTTCTTCCTCACCCTTCCTAGTTCCATTATTGTCAATGGTATCCTCTTCTCTTTCCTCCTCCCAATTGATTGAATTTTCTCCTCCATCTAAGGGTTTCTTTGCTTTCTTGATGTCTTGCAGACTCTTTTTCTTAGCATACATACCCATCTTTACCACTTTCTTTCCTTTCATGATGTCTTGAAAAAACTCCTCACTCCTTCCCTTTCTTGCTCTGTAAACAAATTTCTCACTTCCTTTTGAGCCCCTTTCATGATTATTGGATTTCCGCATCATTTCTTTTATCTATTAAGTGTGTTTTCTTGGGCTACTCTCATCTTCAAAAAAGGTATAAATGTTATTCTCCCTCAACCAAGAGATATTATATGTATGCTACCCTTACCATTACTTCTGCAAAACTCAGTTGGAAAAACTATCTATCTAGGTCTTCTTTCGTGGAGTTATGGTTTCTTGGCCAAGGATACCATGATCATCTTGAACAAGATATTTCCACTATACCCGATGAAGAGAAATCTCAATGGCAGAAACTTGATTTTCAATTATTCTTTGTCCTATGGCAATCTGTCGAACAAGAGGTCTTAGAAATTTTGAGACCTTACAAAACGTGCTCCTCGTTTTGGAAAAGAGCACAAGATATCTTTGCTAATGATGTGCAACGTCTCTTTGATGCAACTCAAAGAGTGACTTCCCTCAAACAAGCCAATCATGATATGGTCGCTCACATAGGAAAGGCTTGTGTTGTCGTAGAGGAATTGAAGAATTTCTTTGTGGCTAATTCTTTAGAAGGCATAAACAAGAAGCTTGATAAGGTTTACATGGTCTTTATTCTAAGAAGTCTACACTTAGATTTTGATGATGTTCGTGATCAAATGTTAACTGGTGATCAAGTCCCATCAATGGATAGCCTAGTTACTCGACTTCTTCAGGTACCTTCATTAGTTAAAGACGAATATTTAATTCATGGTATTGAAACATCAGTTATGGTAGCACCACAAGGAAGAGGAGGACGCAAAAGCAACCGAGGAGGACGTGGTGGTTGTAGTATGCGTCCTCAATGCACATATTGTAAGAAAATAGGCCATACTCAAGAGAAATGTTATGCCTTACAAGGATATCCAGACAAAGTTGCTCATGCTTCTAAATCTGATGATCTAGAATCCAGAATTTCAAATGGAGTACCAAGAATTTTTGAGGTACAAGTCTGGAAAATCTTCTAATCCTGGCCAATCCTCCTCCATGTCCAATGTGTCAACTGCCTGCATATCTCAATCTGTGGAAGGTCACAGTCCATGAATCCTTGACTCAGGTCCCTCAGACCATATCTCTGGTAACATTCCTTCATTTTCTTCCTTGTACTCTCCGAAAATCTCTCATTTCATTACCGTTGCCAATGGATCCGAAGTGGCATCTCAGGGAATTGACAAAGTTGCCTTATCTCCTCCAATTCCTCATTGTCCTTACAATTTAATCTCCTTAAGTCAATTGACTCATTCCTTAAATTGTTCTGTAACCTTTACTGTTAATTCCTTTGTTATACAGCAACATGGTATTGGTCGTCTGATTGGAGAAGGACATGAGTCTCGAGGACTTTATTTCTTAAAACATAGCACTTTAGTTTCCTGTTTTACAACTTCATCCCCAAAACTTTTGCATGATCGTTTGGGCCATCCAAGTTTGTCCACGTTGAAGATGATGGTTCTGAGTCTCAAGAACATTCAAGTCTTCGATTGTGGGTCTTGTCAGTTAAGAAAACATGTTAGATCTTCTTATCCTAAAAGGTTTGAGACGCGATGTAATTTTCCTTTCTCAACTATTCACTCTAATATTTGGGGACCAAGTCGTGTTACTTCGTTTTGTTTTAATTATTTTGTAACCTTCATTGATGAATTCTCTCGATGTACTCGGGTTTATTTAATGAAAGAGAGATCTAAACTTTTGTCCATTTTATGTCCTTTTTTAATGAAATTAAGAACCAATTTGGGAAGACAATTAAAATCCTCCATAGTGATAATGCTAAGGAATATTTTTCTGCAGCATTTTCTTCATTCTTATCTTCCCAAGGAATTTTACATCAGTCAACATGTCCTCACACTCCACAACAAAATCGTATTGCAGAGAGAAAGAATAGACATCTCATTGAAACTGCACGCTCCCTAATGTTGAATACAAATATTCCTGTGCATCACTCGGGCGATGCAGTCCTCACTGCCCGTTTTCTAATCAATAGGATGCCTTCTTCCTCTCTTGAGAATAAAATTCTTCACTCTATCATTTTTCCAAACGACACTCTATACCATGTCTCCCCACGTGTATTTAGGTGTCTGTGTTTTGTCCATAATGTTTCTCCAGAAATTGAAATTTTTATTATTGTTGTTCATTTAACCCTAATACACATACTACCCTATTTAAGGGATAGTAGATCAACATAAAAAGGAAAAACAAAAGGCTCCTAAAAAGCCCACTCTAAAACGCCCACTAGAAAATACATTACATTTCAACATCTTGGATATTTCCTCTCCATTCTGCTATCACCCTTTTCTGTTTGCTTACCCACCTCTCCAAAGTATTGACTCTTCCTTCCATGCTTCCACCACTTATTGATCCGACAGATCAGACCAATTTGTTAGGAATCCAAAATTGAAAAGAGAAAGAAGAGTAATATTCTTTATTGTATAAACTGAAAAGAACACAAAATAGGAGACCACTCTCTCCTCCAAGGGTTTCTCCTTCACAAAGAGCTAAAGCTCAATCTACAAAATTATCCAAAAGTCCCCTCCATACCAGGACCCCCCAACTATATAAAGGAAACCTCACTCACCTAACAACCTAACTCACAACTACTTCTTAATATGTTTTCTCCTATCATACACATTATATCCTATCAGTATGTTAGATATAAGTTACAATATCATGTGTATTTGGATTAGCCAGATTTTCCTGTTCTATTGTTCTTTATAAATATATTACCCTATGTGTATTTTCAACACAAAGGGAAATTAATCCTATACCCAGATTTTATTATTTTCACAGGATAAATTGTTGTATTTGTAGATAGTGCTTGTTGCCATAATGTTGAATACAAATGCAGATTATTCCGAAATAATATTTTGATTTTACTCTATCAATTCCAGCATATTCAAACTTTAAAGTACTAAAATTAGTGCACCGAGCTAAAGAAATGTACCGGGAAGAGAAGAGGTTTCATCTTAAAGGTTCTCATCAAAGCATTCACTTCAACACCAGGAACCTATATATATGACCAAACAAAACATTAATGAAAAGATGAAAAGAAGCACAACTATCTACCATCAAATTAAATAAGGTATAAATATGAAAAAGGAACTCACTATACAGAATTCTTATGATCATAATATCTCATTATGTATGAGTGTCTGTAACTGTACAGAGAGCACTCTGGAAATTCTCCCGTTTACAAACCAAATTTTCTTATTCCCCAAAGAGTTGTACACTTTGGATACCACAGGGCTTAATGGACTATGGCTGGAGTAGCAGCAAGACTAATTAGGTATGCTGTCAGTACTACTAATAATGGCAACAGAGTGGAATATGAAGGACTTACCCAATCCGACAGGAAATACATACTTTCAAATTTCTAAACTAAATTTGAGAATGCAAAAATTTTAACTATAGTTGGTTCCATGGCAGTGGCATGCTGTAGAAACATCTAAAGGTGGTCAAGGGTACCACTTTTATAATTACACTAAAACAAAATTCCTTTAGCACAAAATGAGGTGGGTCTATGCTCAATCCACAATTCAAGCCCAAAGGACTTTTGTGTTAGCTTCTGGTGTTAGGTGCATATGAAAGAATAACTAAATAGTTAATTTTTGCAAAAATAAACTCAATTGGAAATAATATTAGTATGAGTGCAGATTATAGGAGAATTGTACACTCACCGGTGAAAAATGCTTGGCTATTTCAAAGGATAACTTGTAGAAAATAAAATATCAACTTCTCCAAATGAACTCTCATACAAAACAAAAATTATATTTGACTAAGCTACAATTTGTGTTTGTGAGCATGCATGAGAAAAAAGTACCTGACACATAAGATGAAACTCTCCTTCTTCAGGATGAATGCCAAAGTCTCCTGATGCTTCTAAAGGAACACTGCCAAACCAGCCACTTGCATTGTGTAAAAATATTCTTTGACCACGAAAACATAAACTCCCTGATATGTTCTTCAATGACATAAAAAAATAGAACAAAAAGGGGGGAATTAAATTTCAGTTCATATCATGAAAAATACTCAGCCCGTTTGCATATCAATATGCCTAAATACTTCACGTGTGTGGTACAGAAGTCATCAAAAGTTATACCAATGCAATCCATAATGGTAAAAGAATTATTTCATTAAGATAAATACAAAGGTGAAGATAAAAGACACTTCTCAAAAGTGAGAATACAAATATAAGTAAATCTTAAAAAAAGAGAGAAAATTAATAAGATTGCAAACATGTAAATAAACAGATAAAAAAGAAGGACCCTGTATGATCATTTACGAAATACAATCTATAAAACAAAACAAAAATTATCAAGAGTACCAAGGAAGTGTTAACCACGTAAATTGAGAAGAAAAGATACAACTTAGGTAGAAAAAGAAAACTAGAAGTAGAAAAAAGGATACGCTAAACATTACTTCTGCCATTCCAACTCAAAGCAGGGAGCCCTTGTGTAACTCAAATAAATACTTTTCATATTGAAAAGGAAATTCCAATTTTTTCTAGCAACAGTTTCCTTATGAAATAAGCAATTATTGTCTTCCACTCAATAATACTGGAACTAGATCCCATTCCCATGTTAAAAGCAACTATGAAGTGTAACAGAATATTTAGCCACGGATAACTGTATAACATTATGTAGATATTGTATGCATATCCACATGCTGGACATGTTTACAACAAACAGTTGATGACACAGTATAACATTATATAGATGTAGCTTACTACTAGCTGTTATAAGAACTGACAGCTAGACACAGTAGTAACATAGTTTACAGGTAAATCTACCTATGTACAAAGAAAATAAGAAGTTGTACAACACATTTGAAAACTATATATGTTAACTATAGTGTATATACTAATAGCTATACACAGTTTCCAATTTATAGGCCATTTAATCATATCTTTAACAACATTATCCAGCTTACATTAATCTATAGGCTGTAAATAATGGTCCACGATAGATATATGTGGTCCATCATATCATCCTTCTAATTTTAGTATTGTAATGGCACTTAACCAATAAATAGCATATTTCAATTTTTCATACAACATCAAAGCATATGCTGAGTAAACAATATAAAATGCAACACTTCAGGTACTTTTCAAATAACACCAAGCCCAATCACATTGAATAAGGAATACCAAATATAGAAAAGAAGAAACTCCAAGTGTCATAAGAAGAGAGTATAGGAAGCTGNGACGTGGTGGTTGTAGTATGCGTCCTCAATGCACATATTGTAAGAAAATAGGCCATACTCAAGAGAAATGTTATGCCTTACAAGGATATCCAGACAAAGTTGCTCATGCTTCTAAATCTGATGATCTAGAATCCAGAATTTCAAATGGAGTACCAAGAATTTTTGAGGTACAAGTCTGGAAAATCTTCTAATCCTGGCCAATCCTCCTCCATGTCCAATGTGTCAACTGCCTGCATATCTCAATCTGTGGAAGGTCACAGTCCATGAATCCTTGACTCAGGTCCCTCAGACCATATCTCTGGTAACATTCCTTCATTTTCTTCCTTGTACTCTCCGAAAATCTCTCATTTCATTACCGTTGCCAATGGATCCGAAGTGGCATCTCAGGGAATTGACAAAGTTGCCTTATCTCCTCCAATTCCTCATTGTCCTTACAATTTAATCTCCTTAAGTCAATTGACTCATTCCTTAAATTGTTCTGTAACCTTTACTGTTAATTCCTTTGTTATACAGCAACATGGTATTGGTCGTCTGATTGGAGAAGGACATGAGTCTCGAGGACTTTATTTCTTAAAACATAGCACTTTAGTTTCCTGTTTTACAACTTCATCCCCAAAACTTTTGCATGATCGTTTGGGCCATCCAAGTTTGTCCACGTTGAAGATGATGGTTCTGAGTCTCAAGAACATTCAAGTCTTCGATTGTGGGTCTTGTCAGTTAAGAAAACATGTTAGATCTTCTTATCCTAAAAGGTTTGAGACGCGATGTAATTTTCCTTTCTCAACTATTCACTCTAATATTTGGGGACCAAGTCGTGTTACTTCGTTTTGTTTTAATTATTTTGTAACCTTCATTGATGAATTCTCTCGATGTACTCGGGTTTATTTAATGAAAGAGAGATCTAAACTTTTGTCCATTTTATGTCCTTTTTTAATGAAATTAAGAACCAATTTGGGAAGACAATTAAAATCCTCCATAGTGATAATGCTAAGGAATATTTTTCTGCAGCATTTTCTTCATTCTTATCTTCCCAAGGAATTTTACATCAGTCAACATGTCCTCACACTCCACAACAAAATCGTATTGCAGAGAGAAAGAATAGACATCTCATTGAAACTGCACGCTCCCTAATGTTGAATACAAATATTCCTGTGCATCACTCGGGCGATGCAGTCCTCACTGCCCGTTTTCTAATCAATAGGATGCCTTCTTCCTCTCTTGAGAATAAAATTCTTCACTCTATCATTTTTCCAAACGACACTCTATACCATGTCTCCCCACGTGTATTTAGGTGTCTGTGTTTTGTCCATAATGTTTCTCCAGAAATTGAAATTTTTATTATTGTTGTTCATTTAACCCTAATACACATACTACCCTATTTAAGGGATAGTAGATCAACATAAAAAGGAAAAACAAAAGGCTCCTAAAAAGCCCACTCTAAAACGCCCACTAGAAAATACATTACATTTCAACATCTTGGATATTTCCTCTCCATTCTGCTATCACCCTTTTCTGTTTGCTTACCCACCTCTCCAAAGTATTGACTCTTCCTTCCATGCTTCCACCACTTATTGATCCGACAGATCAGACCAATTTGTTAGGAATCCAAAATTGAAAAGAGAAAGAAGAGTAATATTCTTTATTGTATAAACTGAAAAGAACACAAAAAAAGAAAACAAAAAAAACAACAAAAGATTAACCTTCACAAAGAGCTAAAGCTCAATCTACAAAATTATCCAAAAGTCCCCTCCATACCAGGACCCCCCAACTATATAAAGGAAACCTCACTCACCTAACAACCTAACTCACAACTACTTCTTAATATGTTTTCTCCTATCATACACATTATATCCTATCAGTATGTTAGATATAAGTTACAATATCATGTGTATTTGGATTAGCCAGATTTTCCTGTTCTATTGTTCTTTATAAATATATTACCCTATGTGTATTTTCAACACAAAGGGAAATTAATCCTATACCCAGATTTTATTATTTTCACAGGATAAATTGTTGTATTTGTAGATAGTGCTTGTTGCCATAATGTTGAATACAAATGCAGATTATTCCGAAATAATATTTTGATTTTACTCTATCAATTCCAGCATATTCAAACTTTAAAGTACTAAAATTAGTGCACCGAGCTAAAGAAATGTACCGGGAAGAGAAGAGGTTTCATCTTAAAGGTTCTCATCAAAGCATTCACTTCAACACCAGGAACCTATATATATGACCAAACAAAACATTAATGAAAAGATGAAAAGAAGCACAACTATCTACCATCAAATTAAATAAGGTATAAATATGAAAAAGGAACTCACTATACAGAATTCTTATGATCATAATATCTCATTATGTATGAGTGTCTGTAACTGTACAGAGAGCACTCTGGAAATTCTCCCGTTTACAAACCAAATTTTCTTATTCCCCAAAGAGTTGTACACTTTGGATACCACAGGGCTTAATGGACTATGGCTGGAGTAGCAGCAAGACTAATTAGGTATGCTGTCAGTACTACTAATAATGGCAACAGAGTGGAATATGAAGGACTTACCCAATCCGACAGGAAATACATACTTTCAAATTTCTAAACTAAATTTGAGAATGCAAAAATTTTAACTATAGTTGGTTCCATGGCAGTGGCATGCTGTAGAAACATCTAAAGGTGGTCAAGGGTACCACTTTTATAATTACACTAAAACAAAATTCCTTTAGCACAAAATGAGGTGGGTCTATGCTCAATCCACAATTCAAGCCCAAAGGACTTTTGTGTTAGCTTCTGGTGTTAGGTGCATATGAAAGAATAACTAAATAGTTAATTTTTGCAAAAATAAACTCAATTGGAAATAATATTAGTATGAGTGCAGATTATAGGAGAATTGTACACTCACCGGTGAAAAATGCTTGGCTATTTCAAAGGATAACTTGTAGAAAATAAAATATCAACTTCTCCAAATGAACTCTCATACAAAACAAAAATTATATTTGACTAAGCTACAATTTGTGTTTGTGAGCATGCATGAGAAAAAAGTACCTGACACATAAGATGAAACTCTCCTTCTTCAGGATGAATGCCAAAGTCTCCTGATGCTTCTAAAGGAACACTGCCAAACCAGCCACTTGCATTGTGTAAAAATATTCTTTGACCACGAAAACATAAACTCCCTGATATGTTCTTCAATGACATAAAAAAATAGAACAAAAAGGGGGGAATTAAATTTCAGTTCATATCATGAAAAATACTCAGCCCGTTTGCATATCAATATGCCTAAATACTTCACGTGTGTGGTACAGAAGTCATCAAAAGTTATACCAATGCAATCCATAATGGTAAAAGAATTATTTCATTAAGATAAATACAAAGGTGAAGATAAAAGACACTTCTCAAAAGTGAGAATACAAATATAAGTAAATCTTAAAAAAAGAGAGAAAATTAATAAGATTGCAAACATGTAAATAAACAGATAAAAAAGAAGGACCCTGTATGATCATTTACGAAATACAATCTATAAAACAAAACAAAAATTATCAAGAGTACCAAGGAAGTGTTAACCACGTAAATTGAGAAGAAAAGATACAACTTAGGTAGAAAAAGAAAACTAGAAGTAGAAAAAAGGATACGCTAAACATTACTTCTGCCATTCCAACTCAAAGCAGGGAGCCCTTGTGTAACTCAAATAAATACTTTTCATATTGAAAAGGAAATTCCAATTTTTTCTAGCAACAGTTTCCTTATGAAATAAGCAATTATTGTCTTCCACTCAATAATACTGGAACTAGATCCCATTCCCATGTTAAAAGCAACTATGAAGTGTAACAGAATATTTAGCCACGGATAACTGTATAACATTATGTAGATATTGTATGCATATCCACATGCTGGACATGTTTACAACAAACAGTTGATGACACAGTATAACATTATATAGATGTAGCTTACTACTAGCTGTTATAAGAACTGACAGCTAGACACAGTAGTAACATAGTTTACAGGTAAATCTACCTATGTACAAAGAAAATAAGAAGTTGTACAACACATTTGAAAACTATATATGTTAACTATAGTGTATATACTAATAGCTATACACAGTTTCCAATTTATAGGCCATTTAATCATATCTTTAACAACATTATCCAGCTTACATTAATCTATAGGCTGTAAATAATGGTCCACGATAGATATATGTGGTCCATCATATCATCCTTCTAATTTTAGTATTGTAATGGCACTTAACCAATAAATAGCATATTTCAATTTTTCATACAACATCAAAGCATATGCTGAGTAAACAATATAAAATGCAACACTTCAGGTACTTTTCAAATAACACCAAGCCCAATCACATTGAATAAGGAATACCAAATATAGAAAAGAAGAAACTCCAAGTGTCATAAGAAGAGAGTATAGGAAGCTGTACGGAAAAAGATGATGGAGCATCCAATGGCTGGAAATCCAACCCTATCACATCAAGTTGTCCATGAAAATTTGGAAAAGTCTCCCCCTTGGACATGCACAGGTGAACCTAAACATAAGGTAACAAAAAAATACATACCCTATAAGAAAACTTAGCATCATACATAGATAATTATAAGGGTGAAGAACTCGCGGTAATATGACAAATAAAGTTCCACAGCAGAATCTGAACCAAAAAATGTAGGACTTGTCTCCCTATGAAATAAAATGCTAGTTCATCAAATAATATGATAAAGGTTTATTTATGTTTCAGACCCTAAAATCTGAGTTAAATAAGTTATCAGTCCACCGAATAAAAAAAAGTGTTTCAGTACCTTGAATTTAGTAAAAATGTGGTTTAAGTCCCTTAATCCTAAATTTGAGGGACTAAAACAGTATTTAAAAATTTAGTTCAATCCCTCAAATTTAGAGTCTAGCAGCGAAAATTATCTTTTATTTTGAGGGACTAAAATCAAATTTTTTTAATTTTAGAGGACCAAAATCAGAATTATCCCAAATTTCAAAGACAAATTATAATTAAGCCTATATTAAAATTAACCAATTGAATCATTAAAACAGACAGAAAAGGAGATCCTATTTACACATCCAAACTAATATCCACAAATGGAAATATAAATTGTCAAAGATACATGGAAATAGACTTTAAAATTACTAAAAGCAAATATGAACATCACAACAAACTTTGTGGGTATGCATCATTTCTCTTATGTTATAATTATAGAAACAAGAAATTGATCGCAATATAATCAAGAATATCTTGATCATATATGTATTTTTCCGAATTTTTTTATTTATTCCGATATTATATCTTTGTTATTATATTATATCAAATCTAATCTATTTATTATATTGATTCATTTTTCTCAATATAAATAAAGTACCCACGCTGTCTTAGAAACACAAGGTTTCAACTAAATGTTTCTTTCTTTCCTAGAGTTTAACATATCTAGAGCCTTTTTCAAAACCATGTTGGCATGTTAGACCCACCGTGTTCAAAGGATTTTCTTTTGCCAGCCTTTCTCCCAACTTCACATTCACTGTTCCAGCACCACCTCTGGCAAACTCTTTCTTCTCTAACCAATATTCACCAGGTTGCCTCCCGTGTCCTCATACCCTTGTGCTGGTTGCTCCATCAGTGTTTAGTTGTCCAATCTACTTTTCCCTCTCCTTAGGATTTTATTTTTTCATCCTTCCACAAAACAAGTCTTCCAACACCACATCAACCTCCAAAATAGATTCTCTCATCTTTTCTAACCATATGGTTAGTATTTACAACATAGATGGGTCTAACTATTCCACTTGGGCTTGAAAATCAGGTAATGGTTAAGTGAGTTGGGCAGCAAATCCCATCTACCTACCAGTGTTCAATTCATTCCTACATAAATCAAGTATTCACACTCACTTAAACCTATCTTTCGTTACCAAGAGACGTGTGCATCAATTTGGTGAGAAGTTTGTGCCCATATGCCAATAATGCACAATGTGTGTAACATTTTACTGGCGTACACAATTTTAAAGACCTCCTTCCACCACCGACATATGTGAAGAAGCAAAATGAAAACCACTTCTTTATGATCTTGGGCTTGTATTGCTTGCCACAGCTTTGTAATGTTATTAAATCAACTATTAACACCTCACTTAAACCTACTTATTGTACCCAAGGGACGTGTGCATCAATTTGGTGGGATGTTTGTGCCACTTATACCAATGAGCTGTAAGGCATGTACCAAGATCTCTTACATTCTTGTAAGGTGTGTACCAAGATCTCCAAGATCTCTTAGCACTTCTTGCCCCATAACATTTCAAAGGTTGTATGTATGCTAACCATTGCAGCTTCATGCTGCCTTGCATGATTTTGATTACTTCCTACCACCATCTGCAAATGTGAAGAAGGAACTTGCGAAACACAATGCGTTCTTTGACCTTGGGCTTGTATGGCTTGCCAATAGACCATACTGCTACCTGTGATCAGATTTTGGGATCATCAGTAAACCCTACTATGACTTTTTCATCATTTCCGTTCCTTCATATTACTCAAAAAATAAACATAGGATCACATACTTCGTATGCAATGAAAAACACAGCCTTTGCATCACAGTAATAATTTTGGACGCTCTCACACGTAATTCTAAAATTCATCTGAAATGCAAACATTGACACCACACTATACATATAATTGATAAGTGTTGAGAGTTGCAAGGGAAACCCCCTAATTCACACAATATCACCCAAGCATCTACAACTCAGTCATTTGTTGTTATTGCGCTACCAGTTGATTTATCTCTAGCAACATTTAAAGACTATCAAATGGTGTGCAACACACCAATCTATAGTCACACTACTTTGGTGGCACACACTAGTAATTCACCTGCGTGTCTCTCTCAATCTCCACCAATTGGTCCTTGAGTCACTAAACTTAGTGCAACTAATCACATATCTAGTAACCAAATGTTTGAAGTTTTGTAGTGATATAGAGTTCAGAGTTTCCCATATTTTTAGGGAAGGAAGTCATTGTGTTAATAAATTGACTAATTTAGGTTTGAATAATAGAGAAGCTTTTAAATGGTACTCTTAGGCTTAAATGCTTACTTCGTCCCCATGTTAAGAGCTAAATTTCTGTTTAGTATCCGATTTTAAAAATGCATCTATTTTATCCCAAAGTAGTATAAATTGTATCAATTAGATCCCTTCCGTTAAATTGGCATAAACGGAGTTAACTCCCAGCTGACGTGGCAAAAGAATCTGCACTTTTTCTTCTCTCTCCTCTACTTTTCCTGCAATGTCCCAGCTTTTTCTCTCTTTTCTATATCTTTATTAAATTGGCATAAACGGAGTCTTCGAGTTCAACTTCGTTCCCTTCGTTTAGAGTCTACGTGGCAGGTGGCGGATTGTGGGGTCGCCGTCGGTGGAATTCGCGGTGAGACTGACGGTGTGGACACCCAATGAGAATGTGTGCATTGGAGAAACACTGTATTGGGTAACCTCGGCCAGAGCGTACAGTGTTTGTGGGATATGATGTTGGGAGAAATGGGTGGAGGGAATTGGGTGTGCCCATGGCTGAAAAGGGTTGGCTGGAAGTGGTTGCTTGGTTCTGGCATAGTGGCTTGCAAAAGGGTTGGCAGGGAATGGGTATTGGGGAGAGAAAAAGAAAGAGAGAAAAAGATGGCAGCAACCGCAGAGGAAAGAGAAAAAAAGTGCAACCAGGTAAGCACGGAGTTAACTCAGTTTATGCTAATTTAACGGAGGGGACTTCATTTATACAATTTTTACAACTTTGGGACTCAATAGATTCATTTTTTAAAACCGGGCATTAAACAGAAATTCACCTCTTAGCATGCGGACGAAGTAAGCATTTAAGCCTTTCTCTTATTAATGGTAATAAAATTCTCTAAACAAGGATAGTTGGGAGCATAACCTCCCTCACGGGACTATAGCCGCCTGTTAACAAACTCAATAATAAAAAGCATAACCCTAACAAATAGAGTCTAGCTCTATTTATATTAAATATTCCCCCATCTTATTCTGAATATTTCCCTAGAATATAACTCTATTTACTATAAATATCTTATACTGAATATTTCCCTATAATATAACTCTATTTACTATAAGTATCTTATACTGAATATTTCCCTATAATATAGCTCTATTTACTACAAATATTTCCTGCTCATCCTAACTGCTACAACAGTTAGGATAGTAACTCTTCAACCGATCGGCTCCAGTTCTTCACCTCTTTCCATCGTTCTGCTCGAGCCCTCACCGCCTTCAACCGTTCGGCTCGACCTCTCCCCACCTTCCACCGTTCGACTCGACCTCTCCCCGCCTTCCACCGTTTGGTGCCCTTCGTCTTCTCTCATATACTTTCTTCTTCTCTCGTATACCTTCCAAACCCTAACATTATCTATTACCTTATACCCTATCAGGTACCCTGTTATGCCTCCTCCTATCAGTTTAGATTTTTTTCATAACAAATATCAACTTTCTATGTTTAGGAAAGTTTAGCTATGGGAGAAGTTTAGTCCTGTATTTTTTGTTCACGGATTTAGTTCGGCCTCCCCATGTTTTTTGTTCTTTTATCTTTTTCTTTTAATAATATTTTTCATGTGATGACAAATAATAGATGTACTTTGGGTATCAACCTAACTAAGATGTCAAAGTATGAGCTTTTATAAAAAAAAGAAAAAGAAAAAATAGTTTTATTTTCTTCTCCTTTACTAGTGTTGTCAATTTGCCTTTTATAACTGCTATCAAAGGTTACAAACACAAGCTTGTGGCATTAGTACTACCAACCTCTCAAATCCCTTATTATTGTCCAGTGGTATCGAAAATATTATGGCAGCACCATGGCAGAAATTGGTGGTGATTTTGCAGCTTGCCACCACAACATGGTGAAGGCAATGTGAGTTTCTTCTGGTGGTCCATGACGACTCCATTTTGCATCACGGTTAGGTCATGCAGAATGGAGTCGCAGAAAAGGAGAAGATGAAAACCCTAGTTTGTAGCAACAGTGGCACAGGAGAAGAAAACCCTAGTGAGCGAAGGCCACAACACAGAGAAAAAACCCTAGTTGGAGGGCACAAGGATATTAATCTCATATAATTTTTCACTATATTCAACTATCGTATCTGTTTTTCCATTGTAACAATACTCTCTTTTTGTTTTTCTTACTTCCCTTTAATCTTTCCCTAATTCCTTTAATTTGTTCCTCTCTTTTCTTTTACATCAGTTTCTTGCAAATTTCAACTTCTTTTCTCTTCTCTTTTCTCTGCTAATACAAATTTTAGCTTTTTTATATGCTTTGATCAACTTTTTGCCTTGCACAATTTAACTTTTGAGTTAATATTACCCAATGTTTAAGAGCTTACTTTTACTTGCAAGTAGCCTGATTTTTTTTAATATGTGATTGTTATCTAGGAGTTATATTTCAACTGCTATGATATAGCACAATTTCAACTTTTCATGACTTTTCATCATCCCCTATTGACAATATTGGTTTTAGGCATTGTTTTGACAGAAGAAAAAAAGAAACAATATACTGATTATAGAAGAAAAACAACAACCAATCGTTCACATTGCTCAAGTCGCTTTGGCTTTAACTCAAACTATTGTTCCAGTCAGGAGGCAAGTCTTAGGTCTATATAACCACTAAACTAGTCACAAGTACTACACATGCCAAATATATTTATGTAGATGTTGAGTTTGAAATTTAACATCATAAGTAGGAAAATTAGTGTTTAACTCAAGAAAAATCTTCCTAAAAATAGAATAGAAAGGTAAATGAACTTAAGTTAGAAAAACACCTCGCCGCTAGCCCTCCCTTTAGACCAGATAATTGGAATTTCAAGGATCCTTTCAAACAGCTGCACCAAAATCAAGCCAAACAAACTACATAAGCAAATTGTAGAAATTAAATGGCAAAGCAAGTAATGATGGACCATTAACTATTATAAATGTTACCGGGACAAAAAGATTATCAATTTTTAGATTAGCATGCCAACTCTGATCAATAGTGTCAACAAAAACATTGGCAGACAACCAGCCTCCATCTTCAGATATAAGATCTGATCTCCAAGTATTACAATTTCCACTCAGATCCACATGTATGCGACTATAGTGATTTTGGAACTTTACATGTCCATTGACATTCTCCATCTCCCTAAAAACAATAGTACAAAATCTTTAATTCACAGACCATCACTATTTGGTTACAATATAAAAGCATCATTTATATAGTATACAAGAGCTGAGATTATAAAAAGATTGTATTGAGATTTAATGAATTGAAGACTGAAATTGGGTTAGAACAATTGATTAATTTCATTATAACTCTTTCGCTTTCTTTAGCAGTGCAAATTTATGGAAATTAGGCTAAATATCGTGTTGATCTTGCATTATTCTTCCTTGATTAAAGGAATCCTCTTGTACAGCTCTATCACAGATATATATGTATGAAAAGCTGGGAGACTCTTCCAAGCATGTTTCTGGCTCATCTGCTGTGCTTTTCTCTCTGTTTTAAGTCTAATTCATGTTACAGGCACTCATCTCACAATAATTTATGCAATATAATCTAAAACATTATACTGAAAATATCCAAATCGAAAAAAACAAGTTTATTCTAAAAAACCAAGATTAACACTACTCTTATAGAATATTAAATAAGACTTAATGAAGTTTTAAATCTCTCATAAATTTATGTATTTTCATTAATTGGGTGAGTGATTGTTATCTTGTCTTGTCATCTCGCTTCCTTTTATTCACATGTTAAAAAATGTGAAGTTTTGTAATTAATAAAACAATATTACAGTTAATGTAAAACAACAAATGACTTTTATTACTTTAATTTTTGTTTATTAATCACAAAACCTCACATTTCTTAATATGTGGAGACAAGGAAGCAAGATGACAAGACAAGATAACAATCACGTCACCCAATTAATGAAAAAATTAAACAGATGGAAAATTGAAAAGGTATAAAAATTGGATACTCGATAGACAAAAAAAATTAATAGAGATTCAATTGAAAATACACAAATTTATAAGGTGCTTGAAAGTGAGATAACTAGATTATATATATCAATTAAGACTGTTTAGTTAGTTTAATTAACAATATGAAAGTGAGATAACTAGACTATATATATATATATATATATATATCTACATGACAAGCTAAATTGGAAACCCTTATTATGTAGTTATACTAACAGTCTACAGTTTCAACTTTTCAAGATCAATAACGTAGTGTAACTAAACACTGATTTTAGTTCAGTGATGATATAAGGATTATAAATGTGGTCCTGCAACAGAAGCGAACTTCAATTTAATCCCTCAATATTGAAAAATGACATCTAAAATATCCTTTCTGTTGTATCCAGAAAATAAATGTAAAAAGTATCCTTTTAAATGAGCATAAACTTACTCTTTTAGAAACAAAATTCAAAACTTTAAAGTTTCAAGTATACACCAAAGAAGGAAATTGTTTTTACAAATTACAATTATGTCAAAGCTCAAGAAAATAAAATGCCAAAACTCAACCTCAACTAATGAGCTAAAAACAATCATGAGCCATAATTACTTGATAAAAACAAATATCAAGACTTTAGATAACATATTATTAATGGCAGCATTTCTATTGTATAGAGCTCAATAAGCAAAAGCAAAATTATATTATATTCTTCAGAATATAGCAATATGCACTGGTTTGATTGACACACAGAAGAAGGTAAAAGCAAACTAAATATATAATTAATAAATGCTTGAAGGAAACACATGCATAACTGGAATAGAGACCTACAAAATCTTGAATTAGAGACTTTGAACATCCAATAAATAGCACTTAAGGATGTTCTGTCCAATACAAAACACTAATTCTTCGTTCTTCTAGATTTCTGAAAACAAAGATGGCTAATTAAATATGCAAAATAGAGATCCCACTACTAAACATACTTGTCAAAACTGGACGGGGCCAGTTCAACCGGTAGAACTAAGAAGTCGTCCAAATCTTCCAAAAACTGGACTTAAATAAAAATGGCCATGACCCGGGAAAATTTGTTAAAAAGTGAAGCATGTGTTTTTTTGTTGTAGTTAGTTCTTTTAAGAGATTTGTAGTTGGTTTTCTAAGAGATCTGAACTTAAACATGATGTATTAGTTTTGTTTACCTTCATATATGAATTACTTTTATTATATGTTATGAATTGTGACCATTTTAAGCGAAATTATAATTTTAATTTTATAAATTTATGTGTACTAATTTATTTTTGTTAATTTTTCCTCTTATATTATATTAATGTATTATAAAAATTAAAATAATAGTATTTTATTGAGACCGGATTGACTTTAGTAGAACCTTTGAACCTTGAAACCATGCCTTCACTGGTTCGGTATCCAGTCCAGCTACTAGAATTGTCATTATCATTAGTAAAAAATGTTGTTACTAGAATTGTCATTGTCATACTACTTAAAAAACAGAAGTAATGATATAAGCAAGTTAACTATCAAGATGATATATTTCTGAAAGAACGCCCAACATAACATTTGTAATGATGTACACAATATTAAAACCATGGACTCATGAACTGGTGTGTCCATTACTTCAGCTGTAGACTGATTTTAAATTAAGAGGTAATGATAAGATCAACTCTCACCTAACTTCCTTGTCACCATATGCAAGCAGCATCAACGTTGCACCTTTGAAATGAACTGAATCCAATGTAATAGGCAGAACCTTTGTAACACCTTCGGACTGCACAAAATCTATCCCATCAACATGTTCGGAAACAATATCTTCAACTCTCAGACCCACGACAGACTTCAATTTTGCAAAGGGGCCAGAAAGAAACCAAGATGTCAACTCTTCCATATTTCTTAAAATTGATGTTAAGTCAAATTTCACAAGCAAGAGCTCAAATGGATTTTGAAAATAGGTTTCCAACTGAGAGTTAGGCTTCACAAAACTCAAATTTTCAGATGTCAAACCTCGTTGCCCCCCTGAAGAGCTGTCATTATCGTCCATATGACTGGCAGCAACATATGGTACAAACTCCTCATTTTTCTCTTTAATACCATTTGGATTAGCCGGTTCTGCAACATCATCACTAGATTGCAAATTTTCAAATTCACCCTCTCTTGTGTGTAATGTTGGATCACAAACTAAGTTTAAGTAATCCGATTGAATGCCAATATTTTCATTCACTGAGGGAGGCAATGCCAGATCTTTGAATTGTGTTACACTTTGGCTATCATCACTTCTTTTTTCATCACCAACAACAGGTTTGGCATTTCTGTCAACCTCACTTTTCACCAAATGCATATCATGACTCATAAAATGATAACATTCAGAAGGCGACAAAGGCTCCCCAAATTTCCATTGTGATTGATTACAAAAGTATGTATGAGCAGCTGATGCACTACGTTCAAACATTCTCTTTTTGATAGCAACACCGGATGCAAAGATGCTACCCCCATTACCCTTCCTCTTAAACTTGTGTTTCCTTGGCCCGGATATTACTCTGGACCAAAATCGAAGTCCCGATGCAGGTAATCTCACTCCAAATGATTTTTCCAAAGCTGCATGCTTCGTATCGTAATTAACACCTTTGTCCATCAACCTATGATCGTGCTTCCCATCATTCATGCAGAAAAAGGGCGCAGATGCAGTTGACTCCACGGAACGAGTTTCCATCTCCTTTAAACCATCATCACCTTGGGACACACCACAACTCCTCTCAGAAACAAAGTACCCCACCTCAGCAGCTTCCTTAGCCGCATCATCCCTTTCTCTTTCCCAATGAGCCAAGGCTTCCTCTCGTGCAAGCCTCCTTGTTCTTGTACGATAATCTATGCCTTCTTCAGCCGAGAAACTTCTCCCCATGCCTCCTTCATTGAAGGGTATTCCCAACCAAGTAAAGTCCTTCTTCTGTGCTACCAAGAGACTTGGATGCGACAAAACCGCATCAATCACCAACTTTCCCCTCCTCAAACTCACAAAGGGGCGGAGCCGAAGCTTCACCGTGGGAGCCTCGCCACACGAAAACTCCTCCTTGTGAGGCCCAAACGAGCAAGATTCCAAAGTAATGCTCAACGGCGAAATTCGCCGAACCTTGCCAAACACAAGGTCACGCTGAATGTACTCACTGATTACTGAACAAACAGAAGGCAACAAATTGGCCTCAATGAAACCCTTTGCTTTATTCTGGCCATACCACACCAGCATGCACACTCCAGATACAACAGCAGTGCAAACAGAAGCCCTTATCAAAAGCAGCCCCTCTTTCCACAACGGTGTCAAATAACTGCCCAAAGCCTCACTCCTAAAATAAGGTTCCCTGGCACATTCTAACCTCGACCCACCTCTCAAGATCAAGTCTTTTCCCAATAACCCCGCGTTTTGCCCAGAAAAAGCTGAAAGCCGTAACGCTTGGCTTACCAAACGGCAGCGTCTTGGGGACACGCAGCACGTGCAATTGCAAAGACCCTTCTGCGGCAACTTCCTTCTCTCCAAAAGAAAAGGGTTCCTCTTGCTGGTGCCACTTTCCAAAGAGCCATGAAGACTTGTTCCCAGAAACAAGGTATGGTTTTTCAGACTCATTATGGGGTCTCATCTCAGAAGAATCATTGAAAATGGAGACAAATTTCGACTCCCTTCATCACCAGCGCGTTTAATTTTGAGGGGCACGCTGTGGAAGTGTGAAAAACGAAGCGAGTATGGAGTCTGAGAATCTTGGTTTGTGTTGTGTTGCGTTTTGAGAATGGCTACGGCACTCACCAGATGGTTTCGATTGGGAGAAGGGTTGAAATTGCTTGGCTCTGTTTGAAGGGTGGAAAGGTGAAAGTAAAAAATTGGGTTTCACTTTTAGGCCACAAGAAAGAAAGTGTATTTACATTGCTATATTTCTCTTCTACCATGGTTTAAACCCACTTATAATTCCTTCAATTATGTGAAGATCCTCACAGAGATTTAAACCTAAAATACAATTTTAGTCTCTTCAAAATTCCCCTAAATACAAATTTTATGTGTTTTCTTTGTATAAAATTAAGATGTGTCAAATTTAATATGTAATTTATTTTAATGAAAAACTATGTAGCAAACCCTATTCGATGCACTAAAAACATGATTGTATTATGTTTTTATTGTAATGAGTTTTACCCTTGTTTTCTTCAAAACGTGAGTATTTTAGCTTTGTATTCTAGAAAAAAAAAATCTTCAGAAAACTAAAATGTGTTCATTTTGAATTGGTATAGTAAACTGGTTAGACGAATGGTTTACATGAAAAATAGTTTAGGATGTGTTCATGCGTTTTTTTTACTTAGTGAAATGCATTTTTATATAATGTTTTTTTAAATATTATTGTTGTTGTGGTATTGATTAAGAGCAGTTTAAATATGTTTTTTTCATTTCATTTTCTGAAACTTTTTAAGAATAAAATTATGACATAATTTCAAACTTCTACTTCAAATACACAGTAATTGACCGAACAATGATAGAGGATGGATTTAAAATGAGTAATAATTGAGCATATGATTGAATAACAATCCTAATTTTTGTTGTCTTTTAAAATGTTTACGAAAGACTAGTTAACTTTATTTTATAACAATTTCTTTTTTCTTTTATAAAAAGGTCCTCTCTTTACAAACTAAAAAATAAAGTATTAGTTTGTGGTTGTATATGAGAAACTAAAATTTTGATAATGATAAAGAAATGTTGTTGGCTCATATTTTAGATTAAACCTTCTGCTTTTTTTAGACAGAAAAAAAGCATTTTATTTTCAGTATATGTTAATTGAAACTTTTTTTTATTTTACCTAACAGTGTCAAAATGAGTCTGCCTAGTCCCCAAATTGGCATGACAAAGGTGGGTTAACCTGCCATGGGCCTGCTAGCCTTTTTGCTTTTTTTTTAAGTATACTAAAAATTAAAATAAAAGTAATTAAAATAAATAAATTTTCTATATTATATATTTTAAAGATATAAATATGCAATATTATTATAATTTAAACAGTTAACACTTACAAATTAAATTTCAATTATTACTTATAATAAAATAATTTAATATGTAAAATAATAATTATTTTAATTTATCTAATTAAAATTATTAATTAATCAATCCAAAGCTTAGAAAATATTTATATAATTAAATATTTATTTATAAGTCGTCTTAGTAAGTTATAATTTTTTACCTAGTTTCTTTGCGGACTCACTCTATTTTTTGTGAGTCAAAAACAGATGATTCTTGAGGTAGCTCATATGGTAGTTATGTTGACTATTGTGGAGATCTAAAAATATTTAAAAATATTTTTTTCTAGATTCAAAAATATTGGACAAATATTATCTTGTGATATTTAAGAATATAGTTAAATAAGGTAACTATTTAACAATGTCAAATAAAATATTTTAACATATTATTTTCAAATTATCTTTTATCATAAACATTTATCAATTATCAAAGCTCTTTTTGTAGAAAAAAATAGAAAAAATCGCAAAGTCCAATTTTTGTTGTTTGTCCCTCTTCTTGACTTAGTCAAATTTCTTCAGTTTTTTTTTATGCTATGCTTGGATTGAATTCTTGTGATCTTTATTATTTTTTATTTTTGGATTTATTTTTATGGTGTCATGAAACTTTAACTAATTTATTTCAACACCTCAATGAGTTCAACTTAATTGTATCAAAATATCCAAAGAACATTTATGCAACTAAAAATCTATTTTTAACATGTTTTTCTATCTCATGCTAAATAAACTCAATTATAACAGATCCTAATTAACACATTCCAGCAAAGTACAAAAACTAATTAAAAATACAATATTAAAGGTTAAATGAAGGTATAAATATGCACTCATCACTGACTCTTTTTTTTGTGCATGATAATTGTATATTTCAGGATCATGAATCTCATTATATTAGATATGAACATGTTGGGTTTTAGTAAGGGGTAGCTATCTATCAACTTGTGTGAGTTTTGGTTTTCTTGACTATGTTTTCCATGTTTTCTATTTTCCAAGTTACCTCGGTAAAACCTTCGTTTCCACTTCATTTACTTATAGATTAAGCTGAAACTTTGATATATGATTCCTAAGACATATTACTTCACCTTGACTATTCGAATTATTAATTTGAGGTTTTTACTTAAAGGAATTAATCCTGCATTTTGAGAAAATTGATAACTACTTTATTTCTACTTTTGAGTCTTCTTGATAAAATCTCTTTTCTCACCTAGTTAACCGTTAGATCAACTTGAAATTTTGATATTTAGTTCTTAAGATATATTGATTCATTCCAATCGCATGGATTATAAATTGGGTGAATGAGATTAGAGAAATTAATTTCACATTTTGGAGGGAGTTGATAATTACTTTATTTATTTCAAAGTTGTCTTGGAAAAACCTCAATTTCCACATAATTAACCGTCAGATCAAGCTGAAACTTTGATATATAGACCCTAAGACATATTAATTCACTTTGATCACTTGGATTATTAATTGGATGCCTGAGCTTAGAGAAATTAGTTGTGCATTTTGAAGGACCTGATCACCACCTTAGTTCTATCTTTGAACCATCTCGATAAAATGAAGATTTACACTTCATTAACTGTCGGATCGAACTAAAATTTTTACCGTAGGTTTTAGATATATTTTTACTTATTTTGATTGGTTAGATCTTTAATTAGAGACCTATAGTTAGAACAAGTTTATACTTAATATTCCAGTAGTTTAGGTGGTTCATAATATTGACCTTTGTCGTTTGTTTAAGGCATAACTTTTTTCACAATTATCAAAATGATTTGATTGTCTTAACATTGCATTAACCATTCAATTATATTTAATTTCAATAAAAGAACATGCATTTTTTAGTTTTAAGAAAAAATAAGACTGAAAGCAAGGTTGATTTTCAATTATATTTTTACTTAAGCAAAAATCCTCAACTTAAGTGAAAAACATTGAAAAATCAACCTCAGATAGAAAAACCAAAATTGTTTTCAAATTATAATATAACTTTAATCATTCAAACTCAATTTATGTTCTCATTCATATCAAACTCGTAGTCTAAGATGTGGAAAGTCATAAAAACTAACTTCATTCATCTAAACATATGCAAAACTCAATTTAAGAAACTTTATATCTTAACATGAATAATCTAGCCATTATATCAATTTCTCAAACTAGTATCCAAATCAAAACTTTATGAAATATTAATATATCAACAAAAATTCAAATAACACTCAATTTCAAATATTCAAACTATTTTCATATAAAATATAATAACTTGTGTAGAACCCAAAATCTTGTGACCAAGTACTCTGACATTTAGATTATTATAAGGTTTCATGAAAAACGTAAATAACTTCCCTTATTAAATATTGTTTGTTTAAATTAGAACTTCTGACTTCTCTTATAACACACGAAAACCAAACTTGAATACAAAAAACTCAATTTTCAATGTGCTTTGTCCTCACTCACACACTTTCTGCGAAAACTTCCTAGAAGGTCACCCATCCCTAAATTAATCCAGGCTAAGCACGCTTAACCATGGAGTTCTTATGGATTAGGCTACCGAAAAGCAAATGCATTTGGTGATATGAGTAGCTAAATCAATCCCTTTAAGTTATCCTTCAACTATATAGTCCCATACCTATACAGTCTCTAGATCCCTCTCATTCCAGTGTATGTTTGATTCATCCATGTGTCCCTTCCACTAGAAGCCTGCTAGGAGCCGCTCCTTGTCAGTGCCCCTGGCATTTCGTGCCTCTTGCACCGACGATCACTCCCCGCCCTCGTCAGTGCCCGGGTGTCACATGCTGTAACATCCCAATATATATAGTGTAAACTATATTAAAGAGAAGCAACATGCATGATAAAATAGTACAGTTATCCATCTAAAGCATAAAGTGATACCTTTATAGTCATCCAAAACAACTATAAATTTAAAACTTTATACACAGACTAAAGTCTACTCAAAACTATACACAAGGTTCTACTGAACTAGGCAACTACTCAGCAACATCACCTCCCTCCAAAGCTTGCTCCAGGGAAACTTCTTCTTCCGCTGCTCACATCCAAAGGATGGTCATCGCAAAAGAAAAACAACAGAAACATACAAAACACAAGCATACAGCAGGGTGAGCTAGTTTAAAACAAAATTAATCATACATCTAATCAATAAAATTCATACAAACATATTATTCATTCACATCACTTAAATTTTTCACACATAACATCACACTGACTTTGACTGTCCGGACTTAGAATGATTGCCGAGATATGGCGGGTCGTGCACTCGTGGTGGCTTCTAATGCTTTGAAAAGTCGTTGCCAATGGGTTTCACCCTACCACACTCACGAGGTTAGTCAGTTATCACTCACCTTGGGACATACTGGAAGCACCCAAGACTAGGACCTCATGCTACTCCTCACGACATGAATCAATCCTCTATACTTGAGAATGAAAGACCATTGGAGTTTAAGGATAACCCCCAAGACTAAGCTCCTGCATCCATTCTAAACTTACTTGAATCTCAACTAGAGATTTTACTTTGAATCATAACAAGGGCACCACCATGTCTCCTCTCCTTGAGAATCATGGAATTACGTCCAAACCATACTTGAACTTTACACTTTTGAATACAACATACCACAATCCACAGATATTACATGATACAACTTCAACTTACTTCATACAACACTCATTGATTCATATCAAACAACATAAGAGTACACAAGACTTGAACTAAAACGTACCTCTCGCATAGCGCACACCTTCGCATAGCGAGGCTATAAGCTTCTCGCACAGCGACCTAAATCGCCTTGCG